CTCAGAATGTTAGCCCAACAGCTCTATGACCTGAGTTATGGTCATTTCAGTAGGCCTATGTGTAACGACTGAGGCTATACCCCGATACAAGGACTGAAGTGAACAGATGCAAGACTCAGATAAGGTCTACTGCGTTTATTTACAAAGTCAGGTGCATCATCAATTGGAGCTGGAACCCTGAAGAGAAAGGTTAATGATCTGCCTGCAGGGGTGATCATGTTTCTGCTGCTCTTTCTTACGGTACGGATTGGAGTCAGTCGTGGGGACGGATGACCCAGTGGCTACTGGGCGAAGAAGAAGATTGTCCGAACAATGCAATAATGATCAGTCAGGTCATCTGGACGGTTTCTTTTCGTGCTGAGACGTTTCGTCCATCATCCGACCTGACTGACCATTGTTGGATTTTATACCTGGATCATTGAGCATGAATGTTGGTGTCCAAACAATGGTTCAGGCAGGAGGCAGGCAAGTGGTAGGAAGGAAGGTGTGGAGGCACAGGAGAGCTCGAGGTCCACACATGGAAATCCAGGAAACAGGAGGACATCAGAGATAATGCCGAAAACACGAAGGAATGTAAGGAAGGTTAATATTGAGTTAACTCACAAGTAAAAGGCCAGAAACACAACACTGGCAGGTAATGCTCCAGCGCTGACTGGATGTCCTCTGCAGCCTTTCCTGCTGCAGATTGGTGCTTAAAGCTGATGAAGTTCTCCCACACTATGTGGTCGGCTTAGTGCATGCGTGCCCACTGTCAGCTCTGAGGTGGTGCGTCGTGGACAGTGAATGGATGTGGGGTACACACTGCAGTTCACAGCAACACCCCTGAGATTCAGCAGAGTCCTGGAGACCATCACAACAGGGTCTGGCTCTCCAGTCCGAACTAGTGGAACTCCTGATGAAATACGTCATTTCCAGGATTCTCTGTGGGCAGGAAAATGTGGATTTTACTCTCGATACTGAAAAAGACAGATGGGATGAGCCAAGTTCTGGACCTGTGTCTTTGAAATAAACCTGGTGTAGCATCCTTTTATCACTTCTGGAACATGTTGTTGGTCTTAAAGGCTCAGTTTTAACAGGGTTCAAGTCCTTTTCCGTTTCCATGGGGAATATTATTTTTAATTGATGCCACCTATTCATTGTGGTGTACCTCAAGGGTTCATTTTGGGTCCTCTTTTGTTCTGTTTATACATGCTGCATTTGGGATCAAGTTTTAGAAAGCACATTTATTAGGCCGGAAAAAAAAAAAAATAGGCCAAAGCAAAACCTTATATAGTCCTCCTAAAGACCCACAAACTCTTGTCCATGTCTTCACCTCTAAACTGCAGCTCTGTATATGTTGGTTTGGAACAATCGTCTCTCCATCGCCTGCAGTTGGTCCAGAATGTTGCTGCTCTCTTTTAACAGGTACCAGAACACATCATTCCTGTTTCAGCTGATTTACTGTATTAGCTGCCTGTTCACTTTCATATTGATTTTAGGATTATTTTACTTACTTTTAAAGTTTGAAATGGCTTGGCACCCAGTTATTTAAAGCTAATCTACAAGGAAAATCTGTGTGTACACGTGTAAACAGTGGTGTATAGGAGGACGTCCAACATTTTGTTATTAGGAAAACAACAATCCATATATCCATCCCTCATCTTTTACCCACTTCTTCCTTTTTGGGTTGTGGGGGTCACTGGTGCCCATATCCAGCAATCGCTGTGCGAGGCGGGGGACACCCTGGACAGGTCTCGAGTCCATCACAAACGAGACAAACAACCATTCACTCTCTCACTCACACCAAGAGACAATTTAGAGTCTAACATGCATGTTTTTAGTCTGTGGGAGGAAATTGGAGTACCTGGAGAAAACCCACACGTGGACGTAGAGAACATGCAAACTCCATCCAGAAAAGCCCCCCAGCTGGGATTTGAACTGGGGTGACCTGCTCGCTAAGTGGTGGCAACTCTACCAACTGCATCACCGTGGTAGTTGTAGTTTATTTAGTGATAGAATTTGTTTTATAACAAAAATACTTTGCATTCTAACAGTGGTTATTATGACGTGTAGAATAAACCGTACCCCTCCCCCCAAAAGCATCAACAAAAGCTAAAATGTAAAGGGTCAGCAGCAGGAAGCATGAAGTGCTCTAAAACTTCCTGGTAGATGCTGTGTTGACCTTGGACCTCAGAAAACACAGTGGACCAACACCAGCAGATGACATGTCCAAAGTTCTGTTCTTTGATGAAAGTACTTTTTACATTTCCTTTGGAAGTCAAGTTCCCAGAGTCTGGAGGAAGAGAGGAGAGGCACAGAATCCATGTTGCTTGAGGTCCAGTGTCAAGTTTCCACAGTCAGTGATGGTTTGGGGTGCCATGTCATCTGCTGGTGTTGGTCCACTGTGTTTTCTGAGGTCCAAGGTCAACACAGCATCTACCAGGAAGTTTTAGAGCACTTCATGCTTCCTGCTGACCAACTTTATGGAGATACAGATTTCATTTTCCAACAGGACTTGGCACCTGAACAGTGCCAAAGCTACCAGTACCTGGTTTAAGGACCATGGTATCCCTGTTCTTAACTGACCAGTAAACTCACCTGACCTTAACCTCATAGAAAATCTATGGTGTATTGTGAAGAGGAAGATGTGATGCACCAGACCCAACAATTCAGAAGAGCTGAAGGCCACTATCAGAGCAACCTGGGCTCATAACACCTGAGCAGTGACACAGACTGATCCACTCCATGCCACGACGCACTGCTGCAGTAATCCAGGCAAAAGGAGCAACAACTAAGTATTGATGCTGTACATGTTCATACTTTTTATGTTCATACTTTTCAGTTGGCAAACATTTCTATAAATCCTTTGTTTTATTGGTCTTAAGTAATATTCTAATTTTCTGAGATACTGAATTTGGGGGTTTCATTAGTTGTCAGTTAAAATCATCAACATTAAAAGAAATAAACACTTGAAATATATTGGTCTGTGTGTAATGAATGAATATAATATACAAGTTTCACTTGTTGAATGGAATTACTGAAATAAATCAACTTTATCATGATATTCTAATTTTATGTCCAGCACCTGTACACACACAAAACGTGTAGAATAATTCAGATGAATCTTCATTGAGTTTATTCATTTTCCACATTAGATGATTTACTTCAAAATGTTTAATTTACATGAAAACAAACACAGTGGAACAGAAAACATCAGGACTAAATGAACTTACAACTAAAGTTTGAACCACTTGAATCACCTTCATCTGACATTCACAACCAGCTGACTGGAATGCAACAAAGCTGCAGGAAGAGGTTTTCTCTGAAAAAGGCACTCAGTCCAGGTGTTTCTCTACTCAGCGTGTCAGCAGGAGATACATCAGTCATGTGGATCAACTTCACTTCTTACAATAAAAAAAGCTCCCATGCAGAATTAAAGGTTATTTAAACGACAAGGTTTATAACATAAAACATGAGACAGAGCGCAGGGATACAGGACTGTAACAATCCTTCAGTTTACAGGAATAAATAAGAATATGGTGAAAATAAAGAGTAACAAGCAGGCGATATACAGCGTGTAACAGAACAAAGAGCATGAAGGAAATGTGAGGAAAGTTACTGCATCAAATCAAACAGAGGAGTCAAGCTTTGAAAGGCAGCTCGTTTGAAACCAGATACATTAACATTAAACAAACAAGTGACTAATAAACGTTCTGTCACAGGGTCGGGCTTTAGGCTGAATCTTTCCATCAGCAAACATCAGTCCAGATGTGTGAGAGCAGCTCTGAACTCCAGGCAGCTTCGTGGCTCTGACCAGACATTACAGATAAAGTTCAATTCTTCCATGATGGCCTTTTTGTCACAGAACACAAGATGTCACCTCAGATAATGTCAGGTTGAGGCTGAGCTTTGATGGTTGTGAAAAATGTGGGCTATGTTACTGGTAAGTTTGGATATTAACTGGTAATTGTCTCTTAAATGACACTTTTATAAAACATATATTAACTAAAAGGCAAAGCCACTTGTTAGTTTTTTTTATTTTGCACTTGGTCCATTTTAAAACTAAACCGGTCTATTTTGTAAAATTCAGAGCCAATAAGTTGTTTTACCTCATGAACCTCACGATGTGTTCTTTATTCTGTTTTTTTTTAAGAACAAATAAATCTCTTAAACTAATTGTTTTTAACTATTATTAATATACCGGTAGTCATTCTCGATCATGACAAAAGCACTTTTTTACGGTGGCCCTGTGGTATAAATGAACATTTGAAAAAAATGGAATTACATTAAGCCAAAGCGGAAGTGGCCAAAGCGGAAGTGGCCAAAGCGGAAGTGGCCGGAATCGCATTTGAAAAAACAGAAGTCCAGTTGCAAAACGGAAAAGAAAAATAATAAAACACCACTTCTGCTTTTGCTAAATGTAATTTCATTTTTTCAAATGTGATTCCAGCTATTTCCGCTTTGCCCACTTCAACTTGGCTTAATTTAATTACGTTTTTTCAAATGTGATTCCGGCCACTGGTCAAGCAGCTGTCATGAGTCCGACTGTAGCTCTGGACCGACACCTGACAGGAAGTTAGAGACGTTTCTTGCTGGAAATAAAGATGGTGGATTGCACACAAGCAGGATGGATTACAGCATATCTGGGTTAGGATTAGAGTTTTACTCCTATTTACAAGTCAAAGCTCTTGGAGAAAGTTAACCTAGCTAAAATGAAGTGGAACTGCCCTTCTACTGATCAACAACTGCTGAAGGTTAATATTCATCCAGTCACCCAGCCCTACTATAAAACTTAAAGTTAACTATGTTTTTGTGGTAAATGTAACTTTTTTCTTCTGGATTTGTATTTATTAGATGATGCAGAGATGAGATCTGGGCAGCAAATAACCAAAACCTACATTTTAGTTTGATATCAACAGAGCAGAAAGCAGAACTTCATGTATCTTACAGCCTTTTCCTCTCATTCGTTCCCCCCCCCCCCCCCCCCCCCACCCACACACACCTTCAACCCCGCCCCTCCTTCAGTGAACCAGCTCCAGCTGACTGCTGGAGAAAGGCAGCACACCGCTGACGTAGTAGGCGATGCCGAGGGAGAGGAGGGCGATGACCACCAGCAGCAGCAGGACCCTCCAAAAGCCCAGGTCCTCCACAAACTCCTGCCAGGTGGTGCGGAAGCTGGACAGGACCCCCTCGCTGCTCTGCAGGTTGGGGTTCAGTAAAGAGTGGCTCTCCATGGCACTGAGGCACACGGGGGGGGGGGGGGGGGGGGGGGGGGGATTAAGGTTTTCACCACTTCAAGTGCAGAAATCACTTTGTTTGTTGAAGTTGTATTCTCAACAAGAATCAATCAGAATACAAATACACTGATACTACACTTTTACAAAGTACTTATTGATACCGAGTACACATCAATGTCTTGTGTAAAATTACTAGACTTGTGTGTAAACAAATGAAGCAGGTTTGTACTTTAACTCATTGTCGTGCTACAAATTTCAATACCCCCCCCCCACACACACACAAACACACAGCCCCGTCGTCCACAGTTACCTCTCACTATCAGCCATCTGCATGGTCTCCAGTTTGGAGTGGGCTCCTCTGTTGAAGCCCTTCACTTCTTGTTCCTCCAGTCCCTCCAGAAGTCGAATGGCATCCTTGTTGACGCCGCGTCTCTTCGCCAAAACCAAGGGGGTCGACCCGTTGTGGTTACTGTAACAAACACATGGTTTTGTATAGAAGGGGAAGTTATAGAAGGAAAGCCACAAACAAGAAGGGGCTCAGAACTAATCCTTGATGCACTCCCACCTCCACCTTGAAGCTATCTGTCACTACTACAGCACATCTCACCACTGTCCAGCTTTCCTCATACATGTCCTGTACCAGTCTAACATACTTCTCTACCACTCCAGCTTTCCTCATGCAATACCACACCTCCCCACTCGACATTCTGTCATATGCTTTTTCTAAATCCAAACAAAACACAATGGAGTTCTTTCTGACTCTCTCTGTACTTCTCCATCAGCATTCTCAAAACAAAGATGGCGTCTGTGGTGCTCTTTCTTGGCATGAAACCATACTGCTGCTCACAGATGGTCACCTCTCGTCTAAGTCTTGCTTCCACAACTCTCTCCCAGATCTTCACTGTGTGACTCATCAACTTACCGGTAACTCCCCTGTAGTTGCTACAACTCTGTACATCACTCTTGTTCTTAAAAATGTGCACCAGCACACTTCTTCTCCATTCCTCAGGTATTTTCTCACCCTCAAATATTCCATTGAATATTTGAGTCAAAAACCTCACTGCCATCTCTCGAAGACATTTCCAAACCTTCACTGGTATGTCATCAGGTCCTAATGCTTTCCTCTTCTTCATTCTTTTCAGAGCTTTCCAAACTTCACCTTCACTAATCTTTCCCACTTCATGGACCACGGTTTTTATGACCTCTACTCTTCTTTCTCTTTCATTCTCTTCATTCATTAGCTCCTCAAAGTACTCCTTCCATCTTCCCGTCACACTCTCCTCAATAGTTAGAACATTACCATTCCTATCTTTAACAAGCCTAACCTGCTGCACATCCTTTCCAGCCTGATCCCTCGGTCTTGCCAATCGGTACAAGTCCTTCTCACTCACCTCAGACTGAGCTGAGCAACTCAGACTGAGGAAGTCTTTCGGATGAAAGACTGAGATGAAAGTTTCTACATTTTTTTTTTGGTTTTGCTTTGTTTTGTTTTTTGAATGTCCAGAGGACCAGATTTAACTTTTTTAGATTTTTCTACCTGGATTATTGAGCATGCATCAGGATAAGTCCTTCTCACCCTCTTTAGTGTCCAGTCTCCCATACAACTCTTCATATGCCCTCTGTTTGTCTTAGCTACCTCCCTCTTTGCTCTACATCCCATCTCCTTATATTCCTGTCTCCTCTCTTCAGTCCTCTCACTGTCATATTTCTTCTTGGCTAACCTCTTTCTCTGAACAGCTTCCTGCACTTCACTATTCCACCACCAGGTTTCCTTATCTTTCATTCTCTGTCCTGACGACACACCAAGTACCTTCCTACCTGTCTCTATCCACCCAGAGCCTTTAACAGCTCCTCTCAATTTCTCAAAACATTCTTCCTTCTTCATCTTCCACCTTTTGGTCTTCTTCTCTGATTTGACTCTTTTTCTCTTCTTCACAACAACAGTCATTCTACACACAACCATCCGATGCTGTCTGGCCAAGCTCTCCCCTGCCACAACCTTACAGTCTCCAATCTCCCTCAGGTTTCCTCTTCTACACAGAACGTAGTCGACCTGCGTACTCCTTCCTCCACTCTTATAGGTCATGCTATGTTCCTCCCTATTTTGGAAATAAGTGTTGACTACAGCCATTTCCATTCTCTTGGAAAAATCCACCACCATCTGTCCTTCCTGGTTTCTTTCCTTGAACCAAACCTACCCATCACTTCCTCATCCTCTCTGTTTCCTTCACCAACAAGCACACGTTGCATCAATGCACACTGACACTTACCAGCATTTGTTATTATTCACCCTAATGTACCATTATGTGACACAGTTATATATTACTAAAATTATGACCAATAAATATGCTATTAAATACATTATTTACCAATAATATTGTAATTAGTAGTAAAATAAAAGAAGAAATAATGGATCCATCTGTTAATTTTATATCAATACCTTTGGTGTCCCCTGGAAAAATTGCCCTTAAACGTATATATTTCTCTCCCCCTTTCAGCTGCTCCCTCCTTCAGGGGTCGCCACAGCAAACTAACTTGCAAGAAGACTTGGCAATAATTTTTACATCAGATGTCCTTCCTGACGCAAGCACAGATCACCGAGCTACCACAGCCCTCTGTGTGGAGCAGAGAGCTGTTATCTAGGGCGCCCGGGGGAGCGAATGGTGGGGGTTAAAGGCCTTGCTCAAGGGCCCAGAATGAGGCAAACAAGCATGGAGGCAGGTGTGGGTGCTTTCTCACCCACATTTTAAAGTTATCGGTCTGGGGGATCAAAGCAGCGACCTTCCAATCACAGGCTCGCCTTCTCTAACCTCTGCGCCACCACTTCCTGTGCCCCTGGCACGGTTCTAAACCACTTAATTTATGATCAAACCTTGTACAGTACTCTGCATGTTGTGAAAAACATTACTGTACAGATCAATTAGAAAGACTGCAGAAAGTTTCTCATCATAAGATCGTCTGTAGTTTTAAACTCTGACGTGAAAAGTAAGTGACATGAATTTCTTAAAGAAATGTTAGGCCTTTAACTTAAGAATGATTCACCCAACTCTGACTTCTGTACGAACTCTCCAAAAGACAGCAGCTTTTTCGGCTTTATTATTTTACAGAAAACATTTACAAGGACATGAAGTGTAGCTTTAATTAAACCAGGACTTTAGAGAAAAGTGACAAATTTCGCAGCAGGATCTTATTTTTATTTTTTGTAATTGTGAAGGCACCAACCTTTCCACCCCATTAATTGCTGTCTTGTTGGGCTATAGGGAAAGTAAAAAAAAATAAAGTTTCAACCTGTCCTTCAGCCTCTGAAGGATGAAAATATTTCTCTCTCTTTTTTTTTTAGAAAGACTAGTATTTGAATCTGAAAATAGGTTTTGGTCTGACTCTATAAAGTCTGATGGAACAGGAGCAAACACAAAACAATACAAGAAAAATAAAATACTAAACTGCCAGAGCAAACTGATTTTTTCTATTAGATAATGACAGTTCATCTCCACACAGTTGGTTTTCATTTTGAGGTTTAAATAGCTGCAGGGTTTGATCAAACAATGTTGTCACAAGCCACTGCTTCCACACTGTCAAACAGGGCTTGACTTGACTTAAACCTCTGTGTGAACATTGAGGTTTAAGTCATCATACTTGACTTGAGTTCAAAGGCATCTTGAAACAGAAACCTGAAATCTTATCTTATGTGAGGGATAGATGAGATAAAACTGATTAGTGATGCACAATATTATCGGCATGGTATTGGTATCGGCCGATATCAGTGATAACGATAAATATCGGCCATTCCATCAAAATTACTCACCAATATAAAAGGCACTTTTTCTAAATATAGATTATATATTTATATAGTGTTACATCATTTTCTGCGCCCTTTTTGGCATCTGCATTTGGTAGCAGGCAAAATTGACAAAGACCATGTAGAATAATGTAGTATTTTAATTCCACAGCAGAGAAAAATATCTATATTGGTATCGGTTATCGGCCAAATAAGTTTTAACGTATCGGCATATCAACCAAAAATCCAATATTGTGCATCCCTAAAACTGATTTTTTTCTAGACCAGGGGTTCTCAATTTTTTGGGGTTCAGATCAGAAACCCCCCTCATAACCTTCATGTTTATAAAATAATTTTCTTCAATTTGTCTCTTTAATACGATGGAAATATTTGTGCAACATAAATACTTTAAGACCTGTTCTTTAATAGCGTTAATACAATTATTACACTTTTAAACATGGGGTATTTTCATCCAGGATACACTTAATTAACATTTTTAATTTCAACTTCCAAAAATTACAGTTGAGAAATCTATTCCCTAGAATTCTGTGCTTTGTGCTCTGAGTGACGTCACACGCTAGCGAACTGACTGAACAAATTAAAGTTGTTGTTTTTACATGTATGACCGAGCTTGTGAAGCTCTCGGTGAGTTTAAATGTGCTGTTATGGTGCAGAGCTTTCAATAAATTTGTAATTCAGCACATGCATGTCTGCGTTTAACAAAACAAATGTTTTAAGTTAATTCAGCACTGGGTTTGTAAGCTCAATCATCCAGGTAGACAACAAAAATGGCTAAATCGTGTCATCTGGACCTGCTTCAGAAACGGGTCCAGATGACATGATTTAGCCATTTTTGTTAATTCAGCACAGTTTTTCTGGATCAGCCGACACCAAACTGCAGATATTGGATCGGAAGTAAAAAAAAAAAAAAAAAAAGTGGATTGGTGCATCCCTACAATATACCCAATGTCCCTCGTCTGGACATGTCCAAACCATGTCAGTTCAACCTGTGCTGTACCTCTGATGATCTCATTCCTAATCTGATCCATCCTTGTCACTCCGAAGGAGAACCTCATCATCATCATTTCTGCTCCTTCCAGTTCTTTCTCCTGTCTTTTTGTCCATGTCTCTGTCTCCAGACCATACAACATATAGCTGGTCTTGTAAACTTTTCCTTTGACCTTT